CTTGCCCAGGAGGAAGATTCTGCAAAACCTCCAAAGCGGCACCATAGAAATCCTGGACGACGATACTCCGCTTGCAGCTTTCGTGCCTTGTACGCATATAGCGCGCAAGTGTCTGCATAATGGTTGAGGCGTTGAATTCATGGCTAGGATTGCATCGATCCATCTACTAATACATGTCTGCTTGCATCGTTCACATATGCCACCGGTGCTGCCAATCAAGGTCCCTAATTCCTCAGCTAGAACGGAAGGCTCTGCGGCAAGTTCCAGCGCCCCTTCGAAATCCAGCTCCCGCGACCCGGATGTTTCCCGGGAAAAGGTGCCTTTGGCTAGCTTTAAAACCTTGCTTTCCATGTTGTCGAAATACTGTGCTGGTGCTAAGATTGTGTTTTCGTGAAAGCATGGGTTCACATTAGCTGCAGGCATACACACCAGAGCCACCGTACGTGGCTGCCGCCTTGCTCAATCATGCCTTGCATGGATCTGCTTCCTCTATCCCCGCTGCAGCCCCACCGCCCAAGGACATTGGGAACGATTTGCGTGAACATGCTCCTGCTCATGTCACTCAAGCCGATCAGCAGAAGCTGGCGGCTCAAAAAAGAGCGGAGGCCGCTGCAAAGGGCAAGGCAAAAGCGAAGGACAAAGCGAAGCAGGCGAGATTCATTTGGGGCATCGGTCTTTGAACCAGCCTAGCTATGACTTCTCGTCAGGTGTACGCTCTGAAGAAGAACACCCGGCCGGCTAACGACGGTACCAAGAATGTGCAGTGGGCCGTGATGCGGAGAACGGAGGCCCCTTGGACTTGGCTGGTTCAATCTCTGTCCGTGTTGCATCCGCTGCAGGGTACCAAAGAAAAGCAGCTCTTTCAGACAAAGGACAGAACTTTGCCGGTTCATGCATCTCACGTGCCAATATGCAAGCTTTGCCTGGAACTCCAGGACATGGATATCTCCACGCAAATCATGCAACAGCTCAACGATAAGAAAATCACGGAGGAGGAAGCAGTCTCGAAATCACATGCCTGGAAAGTCTCCGGAGCTCTGCCTTGAAATCCGATGACTGAGCAAGCGGCCCCTGTGCTGGAGCCGGCCTTCCAGATCGGTATATGAACCGGGCCGACATCGCAATGGTGTTTCGATACGTTACTTCTGAGCTACGGTCAAAATCGTCCTTTGCTTGCTCCACTATGTCCGTGCTTACATGTGTTCTGCAGCCAGCGTCTGTGCAGGTCGAGATGCCGAACTTGCCTCCGGCTCCCTGGCTGCTGCGCCATCGGCCCCCGAGTGACCCATTGTTAGTGTGTCGTTTTCAATTCAGTGTTGACAGACGCACACTTCCGCAATGTTCATTATGCTCAATGCAGCTTGTGTGGATATCTGTGCATGGACAATGCCGTATGTGCCCAACGTTGGAAGCCTGTCCCGCTTCTTGGAGAAGCTGGATGTGCTGCAGCTTCGAGAGCTGCACGGGTTGCTCCACCTTGGCATTCCATGGGTCGATCACTTAGCTGCCATCCGTGTGATTCGGATAGATACTTCTGCATTGGAAAGTCGTACTGCCTCAGGTCATCCTTGAAATGACCTTATACCTACTCATCCTGCAAAACATGGAGAATGGGCTCATTCAGGCTCTCGATGGCTGAGTGTCTGTAGATCTTTCTTTCATGTGTGTGCCGATTGCCTTCTGCAGGACCTCCCAGGTGCTTGCAGTGTGTGGAATTCTTTGCTGGTGTGGCGTCCATAGCTACGGCCTTCTCTGCCCAGGGATACAACGCCAAGGCAATGGACTTCAATCGTTGCCTGTAATTTCAAGACGCATGATCAACTGTGCCACGCAGCTGATCCTCTTGCTGCTGATGTAGTTTGGCCACTCAGGTTCTCAAATGCATGATATGCTCCACCCTCCCGGCATCGTTCTCTGCTTTGCTTCCATCCTGGCTCTGGAGCCAGGAGGTTTGGCGCACTTTGCCACAGTCTGCACCAGCTTTTGCTGGACCAACAGTGGAACGCATCAACGCACTAGTTTCAATCCTTTGGGCGACGAAAGTAAGGAGTATATACGTGAAGGCTCACAACTGGCAGAGATTACATCTGCTTTGATGCTTTTGGCCTGGTGCAAGGGTTGCTGGGTTACGCTGGAAAATCCAAGATGCAGCAAACTAGAGATCTACCCATCCATCCAAGCAGTGGTGCAATTCCTGCTTGACCGAGAAGCTGACGGCTTTGAAGGAACAGCCCTTCTCAGGCATCCCATTTGTTTGGGTGATTTCGGGGCTCCGTCCCAGAAGCCGGTTTGGCTTTATTCTACATACGACCTTATGTCCACCTTCAAGGAGGCGGCTCGAAGCGGTTCGCCTCGCAGATCACGCAGTACCGATGACGGTGTAACGATCCGGTGTCCTGGTTGCAAGTGATCTTCTGGATGCGATGAACCATACTTGTTGACCTGCCCCAGAGGTACAAAAACGCGGTTGGACTGGAAAAGGTCCATGGAGGACCTGGCCTCAAAAAGAGTCAAGAATACCCAAAGAGGCAAATGCTGCAACTCACCTACCTGATTATGCTTGTTGCTCAGTACTGCAACTAACGCCGATTCTGCATCCGCACAGGTTTGGTCAGGTCTTGGCTGGCTGGTGGGTGAGCCATCGTCGTGAAACGAGAAAGCAAGGGACACTCTTCATGTTAACTCCTGTGGTGTTATATCTGCATTGTGCAGTGAATCCCGAACTGCTCTAGGATGAAGCGGCGAATCCAAGCTTGGAAAGCTAGTGGAGATCTATCTCCCCAGCAAATGAAGGCACATCCATCCACGCTTCCAGCGACCCTATCCTTTAGATTGCACGTCTGTGTCTGCAGGACCAGATCCTGGCACATGCGACAGACACAGCGCTGGACTTCGGTTTGGGCGGTGCTTTGCAGTGGTGCCGTTCTGGGCTAAGTGATGGCCTGTGACTGCTGTCGCATGGATTCGAAAAAGGTTTGTGAAAACAACATGGTTCCAGCCGCTCTACTATACGATCACTGCCGCAGCTGCTACCCGTGACTTACCCGTGACTTGAATAACCGCTGGGACTTATATAACTCTAGCGCTACCGTGACTACCCGTGACTACCCGTGACTTACCCGTGACTTGAATAACCGCTGGGACTTATATAGCTCTAGCGCTACCGTGACTACCCGTGACTACCCGTGACTTACCCGTGACTTGAATAACCGCTGGGACTTATATACCTCTAGCGCTACCGTGACTACCCGTGACTACCCGTGACTTACCCGTGACTTGAAAAACCGCTGGGACTTATATAGCTCTAGCGCTACCGTGACTACCCGTGACTACCCGTGACTTACCCGTGACTTGAATAACCGCTGGGACTTATATATCGCTACCGTGTCTACCCGTGACTTACTCGTGACTTGAACAACCGCTGTGACTACTATAACATTACTAGTATTACTACTATACTGCTACTACTACTACTACTACTACTACTACTACTATACTACTACTACTACTACTACTACTACTACTACTACTACTACTACTACTACTACTACTACTACTACTACTATATACTACTACTACTACTACTACTACTACTACTACTACTACTACTACTACTACTACTACTACTACTACTACTATAGACTACTACTACTACTACTACTACTACTACTACTACTACTACTACTACTACTACTACGACTACGACTACTACTACTACTACTACTACGACTACGACTACTACTACTACTACTACTACTACTAGCTACTACTACTACTACTACTACTACTACTACTACTACTACTACTACTACTACTACTACTACTACTACTACTACTACTACTACTACTACTACTACTACTACTACTACTACTACTACTACTACTAGTACAGGTTTGCCGATCCTCCGGCCCCTAGCGCCAGGGGTGCCGTTCCTCCGGCCCTGCTCTTCTACTAGTACTAGCACTACGAAAACCTACGCAGTGTCACAACCATAACCGGACCATAACCACTATACGTACCGTCCTGGATGCCAGGACTGCATAACCGCTATATTTACCGTCCTGGATGCCAGGACTGCAAAGATCTACTTGCAAAACTGATAAACTATTTATGTGCTGTGTATGCAGAAGCTGAAGCCCCGAAAGCCTAAGCAGTGTTTGCAGAAGCTGAAGCCCCGAAAGCCCAAGCAGTGTTTGCAGAAGCTGAAGCCCCGAAAACCCAAGCAGTGTTTGCACAAGCTGAAGCACCGAAAGCCAAGCAGTGTTTGCAGAAGCTGTAGTAGTAGGTGAAGGTTTGGCTGCTTTGCGCCACCCCTCCGGAGGCAGAGAACGGCCGTTGGCACCTCGCCACGCCACACAAGTTCATTAACACCCTTTTCGTACGGCCAGAAGCTGAAGCACCGATTGCAGAAGCTGAATCACCGAAAGCCAGGCGGTGTTCGCAATGCTGCAGCCGGTGGTGCTCGAGATTTTGGATCCCTTGCCTCCAACACCATGAAGAAAGGCTTCTTGCTGCCGAAAAATGATGCGAAGACCGAGAAACCCAAGAAGACGCGGCCACCCGAGAAGACCGAAAAGGATGATGCTCTTCAACAGCCGGCGGTCTCGAGCTCAGCCGCCGCCGAGGTTCCGAAGATCTATACCCAACAAGAGATCAACCACTTCGTGAAGCAACTGGAGACAATGAGACGTTGGGGAGGGGACGACTTCACCTATGTCACGGAATCGGGAGAAATCTTCGGCAAAGGAGATCTGGAAGAGATTGTTCGTCGCTATGGACGATAGATCGCTCTGTGCAGCCGCGGCGGATGAAAATTGAATTTCCTGCCTTGGTTGGCTGCCCCAAGTTGCTCAAATGTATTGCTTTAGGTTGCTGCTCGCTTGGATCTTTGCATTCCGCTTTCTGTTGCTGCGTGTTGGTCAATGTCAGCATGGCAGCATCTTTTGTATTCACGGTGTTTGGGAAGGGGCTCCCGTAGGCGGCCCTGGAATTCCAGGGCATGGCGAACGACCCCATGCGAGTGAAGCTGGAGCAGCTTGACGCTCTTTCGGGAGAAGCCGAGAACGACCCGGCGAAGTTCGGGCGGCTTCTGAACACCGCTATGAGGGCGGGGGCTGCTGCTGGCGGAGTGGCTGGGCAGGGCTTTTCGGACACCTTCCTGCAGGACCATTCGGGCTCAGGGAACTGGAAGAAAAGCAAACAAACATGCTGCCGCCTATCTAGGACACTCAGCAGACGGAGGCCACGATCGACGCGCAAGAGGAGCAGGACCTGATGAAAGAACTCGAGTCTCAGCTCTACGGCTGCGAGATGGACATCTCCTCCCAGGACTTCAATCCCGCCAAACCCATCCTGTTTCCGATACGCGCCATATCTGTTTCCAGGACGCCCAGCCGACCCAGTACGATCTGCCACCTGCTGACTTGCAGACAGAAGGACATCCATGACTCGCGTTTTGTTGCAGCTTCAGTGTGCACATGTTCTGGTTTGTTTCGATCACAGGTACAAAGGATGGCTTTCATGCCACGTTGGAGCATCTCATGCGTGAGGTCGGGCTCGAGGAACGCGAGGATGATGCGATCAGAAAATCTCCAAAGCGAGAGCTTGAAATTGATTTTGCCAGGGTCGCCAAGGAACTGGAGGATGAAACCATGTTGGCCAAGGAACATGAGGAAGCTGAGAAAGCCAGCAGAATGGCGAAGGAAAGGGAGGAAACTGAGAAAGCAAGGTTGGCCAAGGAAAAGGAAGAAGCTGAGAAAGTAAGCAAAATGATCAAGCAAATGGAGGAAGCTGAGAAAGGCAGGTTGGCCAAGGAAAGGGAGGAAGCCGAGAAAGCCATCAGAATGGCCAAGGAAATGGAGCAAGCCAAGCTGGCCAAGGAAAGGGAGGAAACTGAGAAAGCCAGGATGGCCAAGGAAAGGGAGGAAGCCAAACTGGCCAAGGAAAGGGAGGAAGCTGAGAAAGTCAGGATGGCCAAGGAAATGGAGGAAGCCAAGCTGGCCAAGGAAAGGGAGGAAGCTGAGAAAGTCAGGATGGCCAAGGAAATGGAGGAAGCCAAGCTGGCCAAGGAAAGGGAGGAAGCGGAGAAAGCCAGGATGGCCAAGGAAAGGGAGGAAGCCGAGAAAGCCATCAGAATGGCGAAGGAAATGGAGGAAGCCAAGCTGGCCAAGGAAAGGGAGGAAGCTGAGAAAGCCAGGATGGCCAAGGAAATGGAGGAAGCCAAGCTGGCCAAGGAAAGGGAGGAAGCTGAGAAAGCCAGGATGGCCAAGGAAAGGGAGGAAGCTGAGAATGCCAGGTTGGCCAAGGAAAGGGAACAGTTCAGGCTGGCAAGATTGGCCAAGGACAAGGAGGAGGCCGAACATATGAGATCGGCCAAGGACAAGGCCAAGGAAAAGGAAGACGCCGATAAAGCCAAGGTGGAGGCCGTGCGACTTGTAAGAAACTAAGAAACCTTAACCCCTAAACCACAAGTATAAACCCCATAACCTAGAACCTCAACATTAAACCCGAAGCCTTAACTCCCTAAATTTTATACAACCCTAAACCCCAAAGCCTAAATCCACAACTGTCAGGTCGACATGGCAACACAGGCAGCAAAAAAATACCAGGCTTTGCCAATGAACGCGACAAAGTTGCAAAAGCTACAGCTCTTGCAGGACATTATGGCTACTGGGGATGAGGGTTGCAAGCAGTTCTGCAAGGATGAGCTTGCAAAACTGATCAAGCCGAAGGCAGCAACACCAGCTCCGGCCCGTACCAGTGATGCCGATCCTCCGGCCCCTACCACCACGGGTGCCGATCCTCCGGCCCCTACCACCAGGGGTGCCGATCCTCCGGCCGCTACCACCAGGGGTGCCGATCCTCCGGCCCCTACCACCAGGGGTGCCGTTCCTCCGGCCCCTAATGCCCCGACCTTTGATGATGTCAGTGCGAAGATGGGTTGGTCAAGTCCTGCAACCCCACGCATGGTGGAGGCACCTGGTACGCCATCTCCTGCAACGCCTGGCAGTGCAATCACAACGCCTGGCAGTGCAAAAACAACGCCTGGCAGTGCAAGCGACGGCTTGGTCCAAGGTTCTGCGCCACTCTACAACCGAAAGAACGCCGCCATGTTCTTGAATCGCCTGAAAGGCAACCCAAAGAGGATGCAAGCCTTGCCTGATGACTTGGCAAAGTTGGTGCGGGACGAAGATTCAAAGAGCAAAGCCATCGACTTGATCGTCGCTGCAGGAGGAGACGAAAATGAGCTGGTCGGGCAGTGGACTGCATCGTCCATTTCTGTGGGGACGGACAAGGAAAAGGGAAAGATGAAACCTTTGACGGAACAGGAATTGATCGGCAAGTACGGTGCGGTCAATGCTGCGAAGGTGATGGAGGAAAAAAGGAAGGCTGGTTTGGAGGTTGATGATCCCAATTGTAAAGGGCTGAAGCTTTACTTGCACAACGAGTGGCAGAGGGAATGGACGAGAGGCACAGAAGAACGTTTCTTGCTTGCATTCATACATCGTGCATGCAGTTATGTTCGACTTCAACATTTATGTAGCATTCGTGCATTCATGCGAACGGAATCCGAGGAAGCAGTTTCACTGCTTCCGGAGAAGTTCGTGCGGGTGACGCTGCCAACGTTGCACAAATTCTCAGTGTGCACCGGCGGGCGCTGACAGGGCCCGGCCAGGATGATGAGGACAATGTGGACATGGAGGAGGACCCAAAGCCACTTCCGAACAAAAAACCAAAGAAAGCCAGGAAAAATGAAGCCAGCGGCAAAGAGAAAGACGAAGACGGTGAAACTGAGCCGGAAGCACCACGAGGGGAGAAACTTACACCGCTGGACAAGGCGGCAGACTTAAGGGGGCGGGCCCTCTCGAAGGCCAACCACGCTGGCTCGATGCGGAAGCAGTTGAAAGGAGTCAGCTATGCGACTGAATGCCTCAAGGAGATGACCAACTTCGAGCAGGAGTTCCAGTGCCTTGGCTGCATTGATACCTACTAGATTGTTTTATGAGCCTCTGCCCCACAGGGCAGGCTACCCTGGTCTAGCCATATGAACAAGAAGTCTTGACAGACGCTCATGTGGCCCCAACCCAGTACTATACGGCCAAGGGCGATCTACGACCAGGTGGACAAGCTCATCTCTGAGCTGGTCCACGATGATGGGGTCTATCTTCCCATTGCTACCAGATATCTCGATATCGCGAAGCGTTATGAGAGGCCCAGCAAGGTAGCAAACAGCTTGATCCGAGCTGCGAAGGCGACTCCGAAGGATCCAACCGCGCCCAAAGGATCGGCTAAAGCCAAGTCCAAGAAGCGCAAAGCCGCGGAGGGAGCCTAGAAAGAATCTTGGCACCCGGGGTCGGTGCTCAGATGGGCATGTCGTGCTGTTCACGTATATTAGAATATATTAGAATACTGCAAGGTTACTGGTAACAGATCCATCTGGATTTTGCACATCTCATTTTCTTCCAGTGTCCGACACTGATAACGTACAGTCGGTGTAGGGTCCTCGCCCAAGGGCTCGAGGACCCAAGCCAGTGCTCTCGAC